CCCCCCTCAGACCAGACCACCCGCCCCCCCCACACCCAAACCAAAATTTTATTGCAGATTCGGGGTCCCCACGCCAAGCACAGCACGACCCCGCCCTCAAAATATATATATATATATCGTCTATATATATGACGATATATATATATATATATATATCGTCAAATAGAACTGCCCGGTAAACCGTAGGCAGAGAGGGAGAAGAGGACAACAAACGAGTATATATATATTTCTGGGCTGTTTTTTGGCCCGCCCGGTTTGCCCGGGCGACCTGCCCGGGCCCCGCCCGGCCGGGCGGCGTCCGTACTCAGGTATTCGGACTTTCACTTCGGATTTCTGTTTTAAACCGGTATTCTGTTTATTTCGTATTCCGATTAAGTGCATTCTGGGTAATCCAACATTCCGTTTTTAATTCGGACTTCTGATTTTAATTCGCGATTAGGTTTAAATGAGTACTTGGTCTAATTCGGATTTCTGATTTCAATTCGGTATTCCATTTTTAATTCGGCATTCTGATTTTAATCTTGTATTTCGTTTTCTGAATCGGCATTTCCGTTTTATTTCGGTATTGAAAATTAGGGTTACGGAAAATTTCGGTTTTTGCGCAATTTGGGAAATTCAACGTTTTGGAACCGTAAAACCGAAAATTCCGCGGAAACGCGGAAAATTAGGGTTGGGCTCCGAAATTTTCGCGATTTTTTTTTTTTTTCCTTTCCCTAGTGTGAAAAATTCCGAAAACGGACTTAGGCCTTTAAAAATCGGATTTTGCAGGTCGAAATTCCTGAAATTTTACGTTTTGTGAAAATTCGAGTGTTTTTCTTCCAAATTTTCCGAAATTTTTTTTGGCAAATTGTTCGTAATTGTTCCCCAGAATCGCAACTTCCGGGAAGTTCACTATTCAACGGTGAACCCCCGGACTATAGATGATCTCAACAGGTACCTAATCTTTCATCACTTAAAAAATTCGTTAATTATCATTATCACATTGTTGTTTTATTGATTATTATTAAGAATTATTAATTTGTTATTAATCATTAATTAAACTTTATTGATTAGTAATTCGTTATTATTTTCTTATTACGAATTTTTGAGTTGTTTTCAGGGAAAGTTTATCTTTTGCTGTTTGATTAGGTGTCTAAGTCCATCCTTGAGACAGGGACTGTATGCGAATTGTTTGATTGTTCTATCCCTGTTCCCACTCTCCCTACCCTCCCCGTAATCTGTTTCTAAAGTACCACATCAGCTTGTGCTGATGTCGACGGAACAGGACACCGGGGCACTGCCACGACGCAGTGCCAGGCTCGCAGTTCGTAGCCGCTCTGTGGTACCTCCACGGCCTAAGTATCAACAACAGCGACTCAGCAGGCGGACGACTCCAGCGGCATCAAGTACAGCTACGGCAGTACCAGTTACCACCGGGGCTCTTCCCGCATGTCCAGTCCAAGGGGCCAATGAGCCGTTGGCTGCTTACCTTCAGCGAGTACAGGCATTTACAGATGCCATAGCGACCGCTAAGGCACCGCAGGAGGCAGCAGAGGCAGAACGTCAGCGGCTGGCCAATGAGGCGGCAGCCCAAACTCAGCGAGAGACGGTTAACGGGGGCCCAAATATTCGCCGTTTTCGTTGGCAATTGCGGCGCGAATTTCATCAAAAATTTTAAAAACAAAAGATATGAGACCATAGTGCAAACATCAAAAAGGGAAACAGGCCAAAAAAATGAAAAAAAAAACAAAAAAACACTATGAAACCCTAACACAAAGACACTGTCCGAGTCAAAGAAGTGTCCAACGAATCCAACAAAATGCCAACTTTTTCATTATTTATTAAAACATGTCAAAACTGCACACATGACGTACCCTAAAACACATATATATCACACAAAAAGAAAAACAAGAAAAAAGGCAAAAAATCAGCACAATATGACAGTTTCAGTGCAATTCGGTGCAAAATTCGTCGAAAATAACACCCCTGGTTAACCACGTGTGAACTCAGCGGACTGCTGAGGCTGACGCAGCGGCACGAGACAGACGGAATGCCGCCAGCACGGAGTCCCTGATTCAAAGTGAGAATCATTGGACAACGCTACTCGCATGATCTTTGTGCCTACGGACGCGCAGGCGGATCCGACATCGGCGGAGGCAGAGAGAAGTAACCTGGCTAACTTGATGTTGAGCGTGATGAGGGGAGTAATGTGGAACAACAAACTGCTGCAGGCACACCTGCTCACCGAACGACAACACAGACAGAAGCAGCAGCAAGACACTGCCGCTTTAGCAGCTGCCGTCCACGCAGCAGCAACACAGCAGCAGCAACAGCATCAGCTGTTGAACTCCGCTCTCACACGCATCAACAGCATTGAGGCTCAAGCCTCAGCAGCACCAGGCTGCACGACTGACACGGCGAAACAGCTCAATGAGCGCATCGACCACGTCATCAGTCTAATCGGCGAACTAAGTGACTTCACCAGTCCGGCTACGATCAGCAGCACGGTGGCCGCCATCAAGACGGACATCACCAAGCTGCAGTCGCAACCAGCAGCCGCTGCGAAGGTATACAAGATGCCACGCTTCAACATCGGCAAGTTCGAGGACTACAACAAGACCGACGCTTTGACATGGTGGCAAGCCTTCCTCACGGAAGCGTCCTGCCACAAGGTCCCAGCCGAAGACATGATGAAGGCAATCTACCTCCAACTCATTGGAGGTGCACAGACGTGGATGAACCACCTCGCAGTTAACAAGAAAACCACTATCACCGAGCTACACAAACACCTCACGTGGGAGGAGTTTGAGCAACTGTGGTTCACTGGTTTTATGGTCCGCAATGTAGTGAAGGCGGCCATGAACGAGGTCTACACATGCTCACAGGGAATTATGCCATCTCGAGACTGGACGATTAAGTGGCAGAAGATAGTGACCACACCAGGCTTCGATTTGAGCTTTACAAACCAACGATCCGAGTTCTTCTCGCGATCGTGCGCAGGACTGTGAACCGCACTCGGCAACGAGTACGATTATGCCTCGTTCCAGGCTATTCTGGATCGTGCGAACCTGGTCATCCAAACAGACGACAAGGCCGCTAACGAGAAACAGTCCCAGCCGCACTATGTGGCAAAGCAGAGCTATCAACGACCGACACATAACAATGCCGTGATTTCTGAAGAATCAGTTGATCTCCACGCTGCAGCAGCATCCTCGGGTGATGGAGGAACTGTCGCAGCGCTCCCGCCGAAGCGTCCCAAGAGAGTTCGAAAGAAACCGGCGACACAAGACACGACATCGACGGGAACTGGGCAGCAGCCATGGACGGCATACAAGATAACCAAGGAAGTATATGACCTACGTCAACGGTACGGATATTGCCTGTGGTGCAATGGTGTCACTCACTTGACCGCAGAATGCCCCGAAAAGGGCAAGGCACGCGTACCCCGTCCAGCTAACTCGGGAAACTGAGTTACGCAAGGAGAGGGGCGACTTCTCTCCTCACTCCGCCGGACCCGRTTGCCTTGCTAGCAATCGATGTCACTACCGGGGAGCATGCGTTAGTCGCTGATTCTCGTGCTACGTACGAGGATTATGCCGCCCAGCTGGTACCACCATTAGACCAGCCGAGCCACGTGCACTTAGATTGCGTATGCGCATCCTGTACACCGTCGGCAAGTGATCCGGTCAACTCGCCACTGATTTCCGAGGACTCGACGGCGTGGTCAAGACTTGAGGAGCTTGACCCGCTCACGAGAGAGGACTTTGCTTGGATGTCTCTACCCTCAACCGGAACCTTGCCAAGGCCGCATTGCAACGCCTTAATGGCAAATCTACGCTCCTATTTGACCGCTACAGTACCAGCTCCGTTGACGGACGACGGGGTAGCGGTTGTCGATCTCCGCTCCTATCTTGCGAAGATTGACCGCGAGTACGCCACCCAAAGGTACGCCGAAACCGACGCGCCTTTGCTCTATATCCGCATTCAAATCGGAAAGGCAACTTGTAGTGCCTTGATTGATTGAGGAGCGTCTCGCAACTTTATGCGCCAAGCCTTTATGGCCCGCGCGTTTGAAGGAAGACGCAACCTACGCAAGTTACACTCGCGGACGGCCGCACGCAAAAGTCTATTGACCGATGCGTCGACGACGTTCCGGTATACTTTGCGCCACTTGCGTGCGAGCCGGTGTCTTTTGACATCCTCGACACCAAGTTCGACATGATTCTAGGCATGTCTTGGTTGCGTAGCGCCGATCATCCGGTGAACTTCCATGACCGAACCGTTCACATCCGTGATGGAACGGAGTGTTAGTCCCATGTACGGTCGCGACCCCTCACACTTCGATTGCTTGTCACTTGGTTTCCGTTGCGAGAATTCGCGACGCCATAGCTCGGAATGACATCGAGGAGATGGGCCTTGTATTCTTGCATGCTCTCCCCTCGTCGGACGGACCAGCGGCGTCACCGCTGGACCCACGCATTTCTCACCTATTGGACGAGTATAGAGACGTCTTCGAGGCTCCCACCGGAACGGTTCCGGATCGGCCCATACGTCACGGGATCACTCTCGAGGCTGGCGCCGTCCCTCCGCGTGGATGCATTTACCGCATGAGCGAAGAGGAACTCGAGGTGCTTCGCGCACAACTCGACGACCTCCTTGACAAGGGCTGGATTCGCCCTAGTTGTTCGCCTTACGGTGCCCCTGTTCTCTTCGTCCGGAAGAAGAACAAAGATCTACGATTATGCATCGACCATCGGAAACTTAACGCACAAACCGTAAAGAACGACGGCCCTCTCCCTCGGATTGATGATCTCCTTGAGCGGTGAGGCGGCGAGACGTACTTCTCGAAGTTGGACTTGAAATCGGGTTACCACCAGATTGAAATCCAGCCTCAAGATCGGTACAAAACCGCGTTCAAGACGCGATACGGGCATTTCGAGTGGGTTGTCATGCCATTTGGCCTCACCAATGCCCCCACGACTTTCCAAGCAGCTATGACGACTGAGTTCCGCGACTTGCTCGATCGCAGCGTCCTCGTCTACCTCGATGACATCTTGGTTTAAAGTAGGACGTTGGAGGAGCATATCGTACACCTTCGCATTGTTTTGGATCATTTGCGACTGGCCAAGTACAAAGCGAACCTTGACAAGTGCGAGTTCGCCAAGCAGGAGCTTGAGTACTTGGGCCACTATGTCATGCTGAAAGGCATTCGTCCCTTAGCGGACAAGATCCAAGCCATCGTGGATTGGTCGGAACCCCGTTGCACGACAGATGTACGCTCTTTCATGGGTTTGGCTGGATATTATCAGCGATTCGTCGAGTCATACTCGAAAGTGGCCGCTCTTTGTCGAGACTTCAGTCCCCGAAGGTGCCCTTCGAGTTCGACGACGCAGCCCGTGGCGCGTTCACTATGCTGAAGGCAGCGATGCAAGCCGCACCTGCCCTCCATATATACGACCCCACCCATCCCACCCAAGTGACTACGGACGCTTCTGGATACGGTATTGGTGCGGTGTTGGAACAGTGTCACGAGGACGGTTGGCATCCGGTCGAGTACTTCTCCCAAAAGGTGCTTCTCGTCAACACTCTAGACGACGCTAGGAAGAAAGAGTTACTCGCGTTCGTCACCGTTCTCAATCGGTGGCGCCACTTTCTTCTCGGCCGTTGGCGTTTTAAATGGAATACGGACAACAATCCGTTGACCTTTTACAAAACGCAGGATACAGTCACTAGCACGATCGGTCGATGGATGTATTACATCGACCAATTCGACTTTGACCCGTGCCACATTCCTGGTCCCGCCAATCGAGCTGCGGACGCCCTCTCACGACGGCCCGACTTTTGTGCCATTGTGACCACGACATTCGACCTCGGTGACGATCTGCAGCCGCATTTCGTCAAAGGCTACAAGTCCGATCCGACTTACTCCACGCTTTACGCGGAGCTTTCTTCGGATCACCCGCCGGCTAGCCATTATCGGATTTCCGACGGGTTCCTTCTCCTTCACACGAGAGGAAAGGACTTGTTAGTTGTGCCCCAAGATCGCATCTTACGGACTCGCCTTCTCGGCGAATTCCACGACGCACGACTTTCGACACACCTTGGCGTAAACCGCACGTTAGCATGCCTCCGCCAGCGTTTTCACTGGCCCGACGTCCTTCATGACGTCACGAGGTACATTGAGTCATATGCAGTTTGCCACTGTAACAAGGGTCGATCTCGAGTCCCCTTCGGCGAACTGAAACCGTTGCCGATTCCTCGGGCACCGCGCCTCTCCATTGCTATGGACGTGACAGGCCCGTTCCCCCGCGATCGCCTCGGCCATGACGGTATTCTCACGGTCGTTGACCGTTTGAGCAAGTATGCTCGCTTTCTTCCGTGCAAGTATCATGCTGCAGCGCCTGAGCTCGCACAACTCTTGCACATCGGTTGGATTACCAACCAGGGTGTTCCGGAAGACATAGTGAGCGACCGAGATACTCGCTTCATGTCGGCCTTTTGGACTTCCCTTATGGCTGAGTCCGGCACGACAATGAAGCCGATCTCGGCTCGGCACCCACAGACGGATGGCCAGACGGAGCGAGCACACCAGACCGCTCAGATGATGTTGCGTACGCTCATCCGTCCTGACCAAAAAGATTAGGTTGACCGGCTTCCCGACATTGAGTTCACCTATAACACTTCGGTGCACCCGGCGATCTGCGTCACACCATTCGAGCTTCATCATGGTGGAGAAAAAGCACGGATCTTCGCTGATCTCCTTCTGCCACAGGCCGCCGACATAGACGTCCCCTTCTCTCCAGACGTCCCCTTCTCTCCCGCTTCCGTTCGGAAGTACCGGGACTTGCTGATCAAAGCCCGCTCGAATATGCAAAAGGCTCAGATCCGCATGCAGCAGCAGGCTAACCGACGTCGACTTCGATGTCCTTTCCGCGAGGGAGACCTTGTTTGGGTCCTCTCCGAGGAATTTGCGCTCGAGCAGGACGTTTCGCGCAAACTCCTTCCGAAATGGTTCGGACCATGGGAAGTCACTTCTGCCGTTGGAGACAACCCCGCAGGTCCTTCCTTTGTGGTCAACATTCCTCCGCACCTTCCAGTGCACCGGGTCTTCCACGCGTCGAAGTTGGCCATCTACACACCACCTTCCGCCGACGAGTTTCCCGGCCGCCGATCACAGGATCTGCCTTCTATGGACGGACATCATGAAGTKGACCGAGTCATCACGCACCGCAAGTATGGCAACAAGCCAATGCAGTTCAAAGTCACATTCAAGCACCCTGTATATCTGCAATCAGCTGAAAAAACGAGCCCGATTTCATGTATACACCATGTCTAGCTTAGACCACCCCTGCCCACCATTTTTTTAACGGTATATCCAATATATTTATCGATTGGATATAGCCCCTGGATTGATAAAGAAAAGAAAAGCATAAAAATGCTAGGCTGGGCTGGGCTGGGGGCGATCGCCCCGCAAAACCAGGCAGGTCGAAAAAGAGGGAAGGATTCCCCAAAAAAAGAAACCGACTTTAGGCCAGGGCTGCGCCTGTCTCTTATACACATCTAGATGTGTATAAGAGACAGGATATAGCCCCTGGATTGATAAAGAAAAGAAAAGCATAAAAATGCTAGGCTGGGCTGGGCTGGGGGCGATCGCCCCGCAAAACCAGGCAGGTCGAAAAAGAGGGAAGGATTCCCCAAAAAAAGAAACCGACTTTAGGCCAGGGCTGCGCTCCGCCTGAAGAGTCAGAATCGGGCCTTACCTTCCATTTCGGTGGYGGGTCACCCAGGGGTGTTTGGGGGGTATAAAGTTACTCTAAATAATGACAAGAGGGGAATTTAAATAAATTAAAATTTAAAAGGGTATATCTTACCTCATTTCTCCTCATTTATTTTTATCTTAAAATTAATAATGAATTTCGAGGGGACCCTCAGCCAAGAGTTGCTTGTACTGCAATTTTACACAACATATTTATTTTYCMGATRTTTTTGATTTTTTTWAATTATTTTTTTAATATTATGYRCTGGGGCTGCCTGGGTGTTACATCTTCGACGCCACACGGGTCCTACCGGACCCGACTTAGGGCCAGAGGGRCACAGTAGGGCCTAAAGGCYCGGACATGGGGTACAGCAGGCCGTAAAGGCCACGTTTTTGGACCAGACCGACGGGCAGGCCCAAACGACATTCTCGTTTTGGGCCTGGCGGTGCTTTTGAGCCTGCCGCCGGCCGATCTGATCTGAACCGTCGATCTCGACGGTTCAGGTCACGGCCAGGCCTCGCAGCATTGAGGCCGGCCTCTTGGCCACCGGTGCTTATACCGGTACCAGCCTCATTGAGAGGCATGGAGCCACTGGCATGCTGCTTCAGCGCCAGTGCGTGTCGGTTGAGGCAGCAGCGCTATTCTTAGCGCAGGAGCGAGGCAGCATCAGCGGCAGCAGCGCAAGTTAGCGCAGCAGCAGCGGCGAGACAGGAGCGAGGTAGCAGCCCTCAGCAGTACGGTGGCCATAGCCGCGACCTGCAGTTGGACTACAGCGAAGTCAGGTACCAGGAGGCGAGGAGATCTTCTCCTCCCTCCACGGCGACCGGCTCTCCCCTCATCTCCTCCTCCTCTGCCATCTCTCCCTCTTCTTCTTCTTCTTCTTCTTCTTCTTCTTCTTCTTCTTCAGACCTTGGTTAGCCTAAGACAAAAGTCAGAACCAACTGAACCACAATACAAAGCAAAAAGAATTACCAAAATTGATGCCATCAATTACCTCCTCCACCCTTCCTTTCTAAAAAGTTTCCACTAAACTCTTGGAATGAACTTTCGTAGATGTGCACCTGATACCCAATTCCTACTCCGAGACCCATCCAACTCTTCTATTTCGTACGCCCCATGCTTTGTTTTCCTAGTGACCCGATATGGTCCCAGCCACCGACTGTCTAGTTTCCTGGACCACTGTTTTTCCAACGACATATCATACAACAAGACAATGTCCCCAACGGTTCTTTTCGTACATGTGGCCTCTTATCCCATCTTTCCTTGTCAGCTTGCCTACTTTCAGAAGTAGCTTCTTCTTCTTCTTCTTCTTCTTCTTCTTCTTCAGACTTCATCTCCTTCTTCTTCAGACTGGATACTTGATACTAGTTGGACAGAGATCAGTGTTGGACTTCGGTGGTAAGAGGCTGTGGTACTTACCGGGTTCGAGACTTGGAGATTGTTGGGGATGATACTCGGCTGCATCACAGATTGGACATCGGTTACATTAGGACTCTGTATCTCCGACATTGGTGACTTATTGTCCGCGACATTTGATCTTGTTCGATGACATTTTGGATTACCATATTGGTGACCTACTGGTTTCTATCTCGGTGACATCTGGTGCCACCTACATCTCTCCCACCTCCTTCATCTCTCCTCCCACCTCTCATCTGTGTATGTTTGTACGGGGCCTGACCATCGTCTGTGTTTGGCTCAGACCCCAACATCTCACGATTGGTTGTGTGTGGAGTGATATCTGTGTGAGTCGGTCTATGTGAGTCAGTCCATTATCAGACTTCCGCTGCATACATGGTCATCCTATATTGGTTGATCTTTGGTTCTGCCCCATACTCGTCGAAGTATTCACGAGTATGTAACACTGGGCCCCTGCCCGGACCCTGCCAGGCCCAGGCCGCCCGGGAGGGTACCTGGGCGACCTTCCCCCAGCCGGGCCCGCCTGGGGACCAGCCTAGTAAAAATGTGTGGGTGCGTGTGTGTCCTGTTTGTGTCATTTGTGTCAGTGTCTGTGTGTTTCATGGTGTGTGTGTGTTCCGTTCGATCACACACACACACAGCAAATTGTCGTTGCACAGTTGCAGCAATTTTTTTCTTTATTTTAATTACCCTTGTTCTGTTTCTATTTTTTTTCTCGTATTTTAATAAGAATTTGGGGTTGGTGCTCAGACAACTATTACATGTTACATAACATGTTATTTTTTTCAGATTTTTTTAATTTTTTTTTCACTCCCGTATGTTTTACGTACAGAACATATGTGGTACATAAAATACGCGCACACTATGTACGGAAAGGCCTCGTACGTGTACGGGTGGCAACATAGCACCCACCCATCCATCCACCCACCCATCCATTAATTGGGCCATTGATCCATCACTTGCTCAAACCATCCATTGTTCACTCCATCCATCGATCCATCTGCAATCCATCCACCCATCTATCCATTGATCCATCCGTTTATCTATCCATTGATCGATCCATCAATCCATCCATCCATCTATCCATTCATCTATCCATTGATCGATCCATCAATCCATCCATCCATCTATCCATTCATCTATCCATTCATCTATCCATTCATCTATCGATTGATCCATCCATTGATCTATCCATCGATCCATCCACCAATCCATCCACTGATCGATTGATCCATCCATCCATCGTTTAATCGATCTGTCGATCCATCGTCAATCCATTCATCCATAATCAACTGATCCTCCATCAATTGGTTGACTTCTCTTCCTGGCGCAGTCAGTAGCTGAACTCGACCAGCGTATCTGCCCCTCCCTCCCACCCATTGGAGCCACCTTCTTCTTCTTCTTCTTCTTCTTCTTCTTCTTCTTCGATACTCCTTCATATTCCTCTTCCTCTTCTACGACTCCCTCTTCTGCGAGCTAGTTCTCACATGAACGAGGTAGCAGCGAGGGCAAGACTCAGGTGGGAAGGCAACCACTACATAGCCCATGTTGGATTTGCGGCCTCAGACAATGCAGTATGACCTGCAGCCGATGAAAACAGTGTATAGATGGGTGCTGCCGGGGCAGGAGGTGGAACCAAAGGGATATGGTCAATATGAAGGAGGGTCTTCCAAATGTCCTATACACAAGTGGTAGGGCATTCTCACCGAGAGGGACCCATGCCCTGAGAGAACTCCCTGCACATCCTTACCACATAAAGAGGCAAAGATTGATTGCCCACTCAAGAACAGACCGATTCAGATATAAAGAAGGGAGAACAAAATCCCGGACAATGCTCACCCCCGGCCAGTGACGGAGAAGGAGGAAGGGACAGACTTACTGGTGGGAGTTCTTGCGGCCGCGAACAGTGCCAGGAAGAGAGGTCGATCAATCGATCGATGGACCGACCGATGGATTGATGGACCGATCAACCGATGGATGGGTGGATCAATGGGTCCATCCACCCATGGGTGGATGGATGGGTAATGGTTGGATGGATGAATGGATGGATCAGTAGATGAATTGATAATTTTTTGGGCACCCGGGTTGCCTCTAGCTGCCAGAATGTCCAACCGGGCAAGGTCCCGGCCAAGTCCTGTGCAGCCCCAATGCAATGCAAAAATCTTTTCGTTGAGGGTCATGTCAGAAGACATCCAATCATAGATTAAAAAAAAGGAAATTAAAAAAATTAAGCTAAGGCATCCCTTTAAACACCTCTAGCCCCCATTAAGCCCCTGTAACCCCATTTTATACCGCCCCTTCCCCCTCTCCAACCGAAAAGATTGAAAAACAAGTAACGGCCTGTATCTGGGCTGCTTTCAGTGAGTGCAGAAAAGCCCTATCAACAAAAAAGGAAACAAAAAATTCAAAATTCCCAGACATTTTCCATCCCTGGGTGGACACGGGTGGGAGAACCTCCCAGGTGAATCATTTGGCCACCCGGCTGGGCGCCACAATTAATGCAGATTATCCAAAGCTTTTTGAATTCTTGTTGTTGCCTACCAGTATTGTGGATTATATTTACGATGGATAAAATATATATATATATATCGTCACATATATATATATATATGATGGTTACTATCCAGGCATCTGGAACAGGTCCGGACAGTCTGTGGTACGTGGTCAAGATGTTTGGATATCTGCAGCTGTCTTTCTCAAATCCTCATTCAAAAGAACAAAATAATATAATAATATATATATAGTCAAACAGAGCTGCCCAGGAAACCGTAGGCAGAGAGGGAGAAGAGGACAACAAACGCGGGGCTGTGACAAACTGTCTGTCGGAGTTATATATCGTCAAATAGAACTGCCCGGTAAACCGTAGGCAGAGAGGGAGAAGAGGACAACAAACGAGGGGCTGTGACAAACTGTTTCG